CACAATATATGTAATTACCTCCTCGTCATCATCATCATCAGAACTCGTCATTTCATTATTCATGTCTTCTTCAAAAAAAAAAAAAAAAGAATCAGTATTATTTATGTTCCAAGAGTTCTAAGAGATAATGAGAAGGAGAAGAGCCGAAACATTGCCCCTGGTAGATCAGAGAAGCAAAGAACTGAAGTGGAAATGAAACAGTGTGTAGAAGGAGTGATCTGAAGGGAAGAGAGCAACCTGTCAAAGAAAAGAGGAACAAGGAGCGATTTGCTCTGCAGAGAAAACGAGTGAGGGTTCGTGGAGATCAATGGATCCATCCTCTCTGGCAATTTTGTGTGATATCTTGTATCCTCTGCAAAGATATGGTAAACCCTAAACACTCGTTAACTCCACTTTAAACACTGAAAAAGCATGTCTCATACCTAGCCCGTTTTCCTTGAATAATGCCTATGACAAGAAGCTCAGACTGATCTTAAGTGAATATAAGGAGTTTTTGTCTGGAAGGTTTGCCTTTTGCAGGTATGAGATATAGAGTATGGAGCTGATTTGAACAGCAGTCAGTGGGGGTTCTGGTAAGGGTGTATCGTCCTAGTATGTCTGCTTATATGGTACAGAGATTTGTGGTTAAAGTATGGTTGCTGAAATGAGAGATTTCCCACACTTTCAAACCTTTCCCACTAATCTGGAACTTGGCATTGTTTGAGGACAAACAAGGATCCAAGTCTGGGGGAATCGATATGTTGTGTTTTTGACATATTACACACATACTTTCCATATCATATTTGTGCTTTCCTGGAGTATTCTTAGTGTGTTTTGAGTTATTTCAGGTGTAGAACGAGTTGGAATGCACCAGAAGGAGCATATGGAAGAAAGAATGCAAAACCAGAGTTTTCCATCGCAGAGCACCCGAACGGAGCAACCCCCTGTTTGCTCCTTCTATCGCGGAGCACCCATGCAGAGCAAACCCCGATTTGCTCCCGAAAAATTATGGAAACTTCTAATTAATTTTGGGATTTGCCCTAATCTTTCTATTTTCTTCTCCCAGCCGCCTGTGGTCTTGAGACATATTATATTTTATTTTTCCTAGACAGAGAACGCTTTTGGGAGAGAAGAAACTTTAGAACCTTTGGATATTGTGATATTGATACTTGTAAAGGGAGAAGATCATCTCTCTTGATTTAGAGAAGAATCATCTGAACCCTATTATATTTTATCTGCAATAATATTCATGTCTTCTTCATCTCTTGACTTTGTGTTCTCTATTGTTATGGCTGAGTAGTCAATCTTGTTAGCCTAGGGTTCTAGGGTCTTGATCCATTGAACTGAACATAGATAAGCATCATTCTCGCCTTTGCTCTCCACTGTTCTTACTGCTGATACTGATTTGATCACTTAGTATTTGATTCCAAGTTTAATCTTTTATCATTAATCCTGAATTAGGTTGCTAGATCTGTTGAGAACAAGCATCACATCCCTGGTCAGCGAAAGTAGATATTAAGGTGTGATGTGAGCATATTAGGTATGTGCTTAATGTTTGCTGTTGAGTATTGGTCCACGCGAGAGCATAGGCACCATTGCTCCTCTGCGAAAGGAGCACACCTGCGAGAGCAGGGTGTTCTAGTTAAGAAATATGAGTTCTAGGCTGCATTTAAAGAGCTTGAATAATTGTTTGGTTCAGCATGGTTAATACCCAATGAGAGACACTAGGTTGACATCCTTATATCCTGAAATTAAACCCAATTTAATTATCTGTTTCTCACGATTTGCTTCTTTACAACACTTAATCGTTTTAGCTTGAATTTTATCCTATAAAAATAAAGTGTAATATTTGGTCTCTGTGGATTCGATCCTAAAGTGCGACATCGATATACCATTCGATTGTGGTAGTGTGCACATTAGGTTAATTGGTGTGCTTTCGCACGTAATATCACTCGCGCCCCCACGCAAGTGTTTGATTTAACTTGCGCTCAACATAAATTCATAAATCGCTGGTTTTATAAAAAAAATCTCATATATAATTTTATATTTTAGAATTTACATATTGAGTAAAATATATTATTTTATAATATAGATGTTTGATAATATTTTTTTATTTTTGCATAATATTGTATTGAGAATTTTATAACTTGATTGTAGTATTCATAGATTAACCTGCTATTTTTTTGTTAATTTATTTTAAAATGAAACAACATACTAAAAATTTTATTTTTATCGTTAATTTTCTATGAATTATTATTAACTTTATGATATTTTTTTTCTTGAAAATTCAATTCTCAAAAAAAAAATATTTGATTAAATTAAATAACATAATACTATATTTTATATTGTTTTATATAATATATATACTATATTATAATTGATATTCCTCTATTATCAATAACACTGTCAGTTTTGGAATTGTAATTAATTCATTTAAATTAATTTTAAATGTAGTAGCATAATCTGTAAATAAAAAATACAAAAAAAGTACTTAATTTATTATAAATGCAATGACTAAATATGTAAAATTAAATGCAATGACTAAATATGTAAAGAAAAGAAAGTATTAAAAGGACACTGCGATTCATATTTCCAAACATACTTCTTTTTAATACTACTATCATTGTTTCTAAACAGTATCAAAAGGTACTTCAATTTTAATAATATAAACTAGATTTTAACCCGTGGTTTAAAAGCGCGGGATTATTTTGATAACGTAATATTAATTGAAAAATACAAATTTATTCTTAATTTCTTCTGTATATAAAATATATTTCAAATAGTGCTACATAATTTCCTTCTTGTCTTGGTATGACATCGTGAACTCTCCATCTGTTATCTTCCACATAATATGGTATACATGAACCCATATTTAAATAGGTGATTATAAGTGATTAAATTACTACCAGAATTAATTGACAACTAAGTCTAAGTTAGTTAATATTTATGTTATATGATTTTGACCAGTTCAATTTCTCTTATACTTACGTGATAAATATTATGCATGTTGATAGATAATCCATTAATACTGTAATTAAAAAAATAGTAACCATTATTCTATCAGTCATTTAATAATATATTTATAAAATATTTTATTTAATTTTCAAATATTATTTTATTTGAAATGTATATAATGTGTAATGTATTATGTAGGAATAATTTTATTTTTAAAGTTGTTGCTATGTTTTAACAATATAGATTCTCATAAATAGATTTGTTAAGATTAGATCATAAAAAATACATTGATGTACAAATTTTTAGGATAATAATTCACGATTAAACACATATGTTTAAATGTATTATTAAAAGATCTATCTTATTAAAACAGAAGATAAAAAGTTTCCAAATATTACAATAAGTGGACATCAGTAAAGCTTTTTAGATATAAAAGTTTTTGTATAAAAGGAGATCTTGATAACAACTTTTTGAATGACTATATAGTTTGAAATGAAATGTTAAAACTATTTTTATAGATGTACGATTGTAAATTTTTGTTATCTATATGTTTGCTTATTTTTATTTAAAGAGTTTTTAAATATGTAAAAAAAAAATCTAGCATATATATAGTTGTGTTTTTCTATATTTTTTATGCAAGCTAGAAATAGATATTTTCGGATTTAAACCATCACCATATAAAATATATTGTAAAATCTAGTATAAAACATCACGACGGTTTATAGATTATGTAATGATCACATTTTTGATTTATAGAGAATATATTTTTTTGTTGGCATCGGTCCGTCTAGTGCACATATGATTCTTAAACATGTCAATTTAGTATGATTATTTAGTTACATTTGCAGGTCGTTGATAAAAATGTCATTAAATATCTTTGTGTAAGATATTTTAATACATAAAATAGAAAGTTGATAAGAGTAATTAGGGGAATATGGTTTCGAAAATCTCCTGCATTAATAGGAATATTAGTTTGATTTGTTCAGAAATAATATTAAAATCTGAATTAAATGTTAATGGCATACAATTGTAAATAACTTAAAAACCAATAGCAAAATTCTGAAAGAGATTCTACTTTAATAGTATAGATGTAAATGGTAAAAGTAGTGCATGAAAACTGTAAATACGGAAGAACTACATTTATTCGCTCTTCCATTTGAACAACAGTTTGCAAACTCGTGCAGTTTGAAAGGTGAAAAATAAGTTATTCGTCCCCTAGCAATCACCGTCCACAATATTTGAAAACCCAGCATTTATGTATTACCAACACTCATTAACTCGTTTTATTTTATTAGTTTATTAACCTTGTCCCTTTCTGTTAAAATATTTTTAAAAATGTAGAGAAAGAAATGACAAATAAGAGACTTTTATGTCATATATAGCTTGAGAATGTCGGTCAAAGAAAATAGTAAAGAACAAAAAAAGAAACAAGATTTTTTAAAAAAGTAATATAATCTTTCTAGAGATGTTAGTATGTAATTCAATCCAATTAATAATCGCATGAACTAATTTTAGGTAACCCAAATAAAAGAAATTATGAACTAATTTTAGGTCTAGATTTTCTTATGTAAACGAAAAGCAGAGAAAAATGACGATATATCTGATTGTGTTGTTGTCTAATGATGATGTGACCATATATTCTGCTGTACCAATACTCGTGAATCCAGGATTGGTGGCTTGACCAGATATGTTTCCCGAATTAATTTAGTTTTGTATCTATCTTATATAGGCCAGTGAGTTTCTTTAGGTCGACAGATATTGCACTATACAACGTAACTTCTCAGGTAGACAAGCTTTATCAGTCAATATTAATTACTAAATATGAATTGCCGGGCACCTACCAGGATGTTTCAAATGCGATTGCCCTTGAGTTTCCACGTAACTCATACGTAAATCACTATGACGCGACTAATCTTGAATCGTGTCAAGAAACAATTAATTAATCTATATTCCAAGGGCATTTTCGACACTTCGTAAACTCAATGATTCAGATTCATAAACCCTATATAAAGGGGTACAACACTTCAACAGATCTAAACAAGAACACAACTCTTTACCAATATCTATAATCTCTCAGTTCCTCTTTCTGACAGCTGAAAATGACAGAAATTCCGTCGTACATGATCGAAAACCCTAAGTTCGAACCTTACAAGCCCAAAAAACGACTTTATTACTCTTCTTCGTTGCTCTCCATTCTCTTATCGATCTTCACTTACGTCTTGATCTTTTACGTTTTCGAAGTATCTCCATCGTCTATCTTCAAAGACACAAAGGTTTTGTTCTTCATCTCTAACACTCTCATCCTTATCATTGCTGCCGATTATGGCGCGTTCACTGATAAGGAGAGACCCGACTTTTACAGTGAATATACTGTGGCTGCGGCAGCGATGAGAAGCCGTGCAGATCATAGCGATTCTCAAGCTCCCATCTTCACATACGGAGAAAACGCTAGACACCAAAACTCTGGACATGCAGAAATCAAGAATCCTAAAGATGTCGATGTCAAGAACTATAAGGAAGAAGAACCGATGATAAAAGATATCGTTTGTGTTTCTTCGCCTCCTGAGAAAATAGTACGGGAGGTGAATGAAGAGAAACCAAGAGACGATGTGGCTATCAAGAAATACAAACCAGTTACAGGTAGTGAGCAAAGTGCTGCTAACAAAGAAGGTTGCAACACAAGAAGCCATGTGTACCGTAGATCTTACGAACGGACTAAATCAGATAAACCCCGACGGGTGAAGACAACCGAAGAAACAAAGGCCAAACGTAAAAATTATCGTCGAAGCGAATCAGATAGCTCGAAATGGATGGTTGTTCCGGAGAAATGGGAGAGTGTTGAAGAAGAATCTGAAGAGTTCTCGAAGATGTCGAACGAGGAGTTGAATCGAAGAGTCGAAGAATTCATACAAAGATTCAATAAACAGATGAGATTACAATCGCGAGTTTCGTCTACATGAATCCTGGATTGCTCATAGTATATAAAGTTAGTAAGAACGAAAAAAAAAAATAGTAAGAACTCTCATCTTCTTTTTGTTGTTAAGAGTTCTTTTGTTTCTCTCTTTTTGTTAATACTTCGTGATCGGATGACCTTTTTGGCAGTCGTCTGTGTAAACTAGACATGAAAAGCATAATAGTTACTGGTATAAATTACATGTAACTATAATTGCTTTTTGTCTATAAAACATTGTAATATCGGTTAAATATGCTACATGTGTGTAGATTTATAAGAAAGAATTATATTTCTTTATCTTATTCATTTCATTGAACACAAGTTAATAAATATAGAGAATCCTGGCTGTGGAAAGAAATATATTTAAATTGTAGAAAATATTAAAATTTAATAGGAACCAGGTCGAAGAGAATGTAAATAGAGACAATATCGTTCAGAATTTTTAAAATACAATTTTGAACATTACCAAGTTCTCTAAATGATGCAAATTAATTAGATGACTTTTATTTTTCAATGGATGTTGTAGAAAAATGTAGGTGATTAATGGATTTTGAGGGGTATTGTCAACAAAGTTTGGGATGATCAATATTTGTATCACTGTCTAACGATCTGTTCACTTTGAACGGGTTAATACTTAATAGTGGGTCATCAAAAAGGTCCATAAAATTTGGTATAATCAAACAATAGTGAATTAAGCTTTAGGAGAAAATGTTTTGTAAAACAGTAGTTTTTTAATTTGTTTTCGGTTCGAATCCCATTAATGAGTCTGCTATAATTATTAAAATACATATCTGTATTCTTTCAAAAAAAAATATACATATCTATAATATTAAAACAAAAGTACTAATGAAGATTATTTGGAAACATAGATAACAATACTAAAAATGAATATGTTTAGAAATATAGATAGCAATTATTAAAAAGAGCTTTAACCAAAATTGTAATTAGTTTAATATACAATTCTGATTATCTTGGCCTGTTTATCTCCTAAACCAACTGGATCAGTTAACTAAATAATATAAAAAATGCCCCAGTAAAATTTATTGCATATTAATATTTACTAAACAACAAATATTTAGTGTTTCAAGATAAAAAAAAACAAAAAATATTTAGTGTTTCAAGAAAAAAACAACAAATATTTCAATATGATAATAAATTATGAAAAATATATGATATGTTTTTCAATTATATACAAATAATTAAATGATTACATTTATATCTTACATCATGATTTGTAAATATAGAACACTTCAATGAAAAATAAATATAAATATATAAAAAATAAAATTAATATCGGTGATACAATTGTATTATAAAATGGTGACACATCTAAAATATATAATGTTCACACGAAAAACATAAATTAATATATATATATATATATATATATATATAAATATATAAATCAATATAAGTATACCTAAATCAATGTATCTATAATTAAAAAATTTGATGCTTTCTGGTAATGTTTGAGAAATAGCCAGTGAGACTTTTAAGGTGTTTTATATGAGATTATGATTACGCAAAGACTTCTAGGCTCTAAACCGATTTTTAAAACACTTTGTAGTAATGATTTGTTTTAACAGGATGATTTCGCGGCTGATGATGATGAGTATGAGGAGAAGTTGAAGAAAGAGGATGTGGCTTTCTTCTTCTTAGCCACGTTGGTTTCTTTAGCTCTGGTTTGATATTTGTTGAAGTTGATCTTTCATTCTTGTGGCTGATCTTGTTTTCTTTACAATCTTGGTGAGCCTACAGATAATGCAGCGAGATTCTATAAATGGTTCACCGAGGTGATTTTTTTTTTTTTTTTTTGGCTCTGCTTGGCTTATTCAGTTTATGTATACTTGTTTCTGAAGTTTTAGACATGTGTGTTACAGGGAAATGACAGAGGAGAATGGCTTAAGAACTTTAAGTATGGAGTTTTTGAGTTAGGAAACAGACAACATGAACATTTTTAATAAGGTTTTTAAATGGAATCTTTTTTATTTCACGCTTACTCTAGTTTTTTCCTTGGCTAATATTCGAATTGTTTTGTAAAGCAGTGTTGCAGGTTTGTTGGAGTTAACGATCTCACATCGGAAAGATATAAGGGACTTAAATACTATGTAAGGGATTTATGCTAATTTACTAATTGTCAATAAATTTTAAATTGGAAGCTCAGGAAACATATATGGTATCAGAGTGGACTAACATCCTTACCCATTTAACTCGGTCTGGAAAGTGGACCAATCATCCCATTAGTTAATGGTCCATAGAAGGTTTCAGTTTCGCCGAGATTGTTAAAAAAAGAATATTGTCTCTGAGAGAGTATGATGGATTGTCGAAATTAATGACTATACCATCATTATCTCGAGAAAAGGTGTTGGAGATAAAAGATCCCATATCGGAAATGTAGTATAGATCAAGGTTGTGAAAGTTGTAGATGACATCCTTGTAGAAAACAAGATTTGATTGTTTCTTTATTCAATCATTCGTCTTGATGTTGGTGTACTGAGTGATAATTTGAATGAAACTGTAGAGGAAGCGCTTAGTTTGCTGGATATGTCACCTGATACTTACTTCTCCCTTCACTCTGATAAAGAAGATGGCACACCAATCAGCAGCTCGCCTCCTCCTACACGAGAGGCATGTCTTTTGAGATTCACATCTTGTTCGAACTCGACTGTTTTTTGTTTTTATTGTTTTTGTTTTTGTTTTTGTTTTATTGCAGTCCACTCTACTTGCTTTGGCTGCTGGAAAAGTTTGTACCAGGATGCTAATCTTGATTTTACATAGTAGAATTTTCTCTGAAAAAGTATATATATAACTGTAATCTTTCAATACTAGGATGAATATTCAAAGTGGGTAGTAGAGAGTCAAAGAAGTCTACTCGAGGTGATAGCAGAGTTTCCTTCAGCCAAGCCGCCACTTGGTGTCTTCTTTGCTGCAGTCGCTCCTAGGTTCTACTCATTATCATCATCATCATCATCCAAGTGAGTACTTCTCTTGACTTGCTCCTTTTGTTTTCAATTAAGACGTATCTGGTACTGATCCATTGTCTTGTTTTCTTGCTTAGGCTTGCTGAAACTAGAATACATGCACTTAGATGCCAACGGGAAGGATCCATAAGGGAGTGTGTTCGACTTGGATGAAGGTAAAACCTATCACACTGTAATCTTTTTTGCCATTTTTATCTAACTTTTTTGCCTTTTTCTTTTTTGTAGTAATTACAGTGTGCTATCCCTTATGAGAAGAGTGAAAACTTTGCTCAGCACCAATATTTGTTAGGCAATCCAACTTCAAGCTCCCTTCTGATTCCAAAGTACCGATCATCATGATCAGTCCAGGGAATGGATTGGCTGGCTCCTTTCAGAGGTTTCCTTCAGGAAAGACTTGCGTTGGTGGAATCTGGTGTTGAACTTGGACCATCAGTTTTATTCTTTAGATGCAGAAACCGTAGAATGGTAATAAACCCAATTCTATCATCATCTGTTTTGTGCAGTTTCTAGAGTGCTAAGCGTTGCCTTCTCTCGTGAAGGACAAAACAAAGAATATGTACAGCACAAGATGATGGACAAGGTATGATGAGCTTTTAATAACCAGATATTTGTGGTGATGCGGAAAGAGACATTCACAGGTCTCTCACACAATACCTCAAGAACAGGTTCGTATGCGATCTCATCACATCACAAAACAGAGTTTGATCTGTTTCATCGGAGTTTGGTTATATGAATCAGACATATTCTTGTTATCTTAACACGAATGAATATTAAAAATAAATGTTCAGTGCAAAAGGAGAACAACAAGTCCACTAAAATAACATTCGTTTGCTTTAGTATAATAATAACGTTTTAAGGACAGAATCAACAGAACAAGTAGTAGCAGCAGCCTAGTGGGCTCAAAGCGGTCGGGAATCACTTGCCGGAGTAATGTAGACCATTATTGACCGACATTTTGGGATCAGGTTTCAGTGGCTGTGGCTGTGGGAACATAGCTTTGTATTGTGGATCTATTTGCCAATGATATGGTGTATTTTGTGACTGCTGCTGCTGGTTCATATTCATATGCATCGGTGGTACTGCTCCATTCATCTGAAACTGTGGTTGTCCTTGTTGCATCATCATATGATATTGTAAAAGTGGATTCAACGTAGGTGGAGGAGGTCGCTTAGCATTGCCATGGTCGAAGGTACCGTTCCCAAACCTTGTTGACCCGAACATTCTCTTTGCCAATGGAAAAGGCTCAACAACTTTTGGTTTGCTGCGTAAACACCCTAACAGAAGATACTTCCTTAGCATCCCTTCCTCCTTCTTTATAGTGGGCCTAGTATTTACTTGCGACGCACGTTCCATTGGTCTTGGATCAGGATTTGAACAAGTGTCATCAGAAGAAGTGTCGTCTTCATCCTCATCGTCATCTTCGTTTTCTTCATCGCTGCTTATGAGATCAACATCACGCATGTAATTCACAGACACAAGCTCTGCTTTCTTTTTACATTTTGTAAGTGTCTGAACGAGAGTCATAGGGTCAACGTCGCCTGTGATTGTCATGAGCCCTTTTTCTTCGTTATACTCCGCTGCTGTCACGCCTGTATATATATATTCATAGGAAACAAAAGTGTTTTTAAAAATAGAAATCTTATATTTTAAGTTTTATATCCTTTTTTTCTTTTCATACCGGAGAGACTCAGTAGCTTTGTCTTTGCGTTGTTTGGGCAACCGGAACAACTATTTAGATCGACTTTTAGTATGCAAGCCTGCAAAAAAAAAAGTTACACAGAGAGTCATAAGCAATTGAAAAAGTGACTCAGAGAGACTAGAAGAAGTGTTACCCGGACGGGTCGGTTTGTGTTGGCCATTAAAGGGGAAGCTTGGTGAGGAAGGAGAAGAAAAACGCTAAACTTACAGTATATTGTAAAGCATCGTTAAACATTTCCATAGACGAAGGAGTTTCCATAATTTGAGTTTTGTGAATATATGATTTTTATATTATAAGATTCTGGTGGATTCTGAAAATCAGAGGGAAGGTCTCAGATCAATTTCGATGAGGAAATCAAGCTACTCAATCATGTTACCTACAATGGAGGCTGCTTGATTCTTTCATTTACCCATTTTGTGTTCTTCTCTACTTTTCATTCACTCGCTTAAGTTCTTTGTTTAAATTAGTCTAAGATTCTCTTGTTCCATCGTCTTCAAACCCGTTTTGATTTGACGTTTCAACCCGATCAAATAGGCTCTTTCGAGAGCTGCGTCATTTAGCTCCGGTGCGTTGGTCGCCTCCTGTTTTAACGTAATCAAACAACTCCCTAGCCGAAATCTCATACGATGTTACGTCATCAACCTCCGTGTCATGGCATCTTTAACTACATTCTGCTCATACAAAACAATCATAACTACATTTAAGACCACGATTGTGTTAGTGTAAGTCAAATAATTGTTCAGAAAAGGTTGAATTCTTTAAAAAAAACTGTCGCAATAGGTTTAATTAATGCCGGAATGAAAGAAAAGAAACTAAGTTTGGTGAGAGTATCAAGAAAAGGTCCATTGGATTTGGACGCTAAATAGTTCCCGAAAACTTATTTCTTGGCTTCTTTCTCTTTATTCAAACATACACACCAAAAATCAATATATAAAAGAGATAGTGGGCATCACCCTGATGGAGTGAAGAAACAAAGATAAAAACAGAGTTAGAAGAAAAACACACAGATTCTTTCTTGATTTCATTCAGACATGAAGGAAGGTGATACACCTTTTCTGTCTGCATCTTCTTCTCCTTGTTAAAAATATAAGGAACAGGTTTTGCTCTTCAAATTCTTCCTGCATGAAAAGCTTGGACCTATTTAGATCCTAAGAGTGAAACGCTTTCTCTAATCACTCATCCTATCTACTTTAGCTGCCGAACACAGGATCGTAGATATCAGAAACAAATATTCAAAGTCAGATAACGTCATGGGAGGTGACTCAGAAATGTAAGCATCTACATCTCCTGCAATATGGAAGTATTCAATAGTCCACTAGTTGTGGTTGGTATGTAGTTATATCGTTTCCTCTTTATGTGGAAACCGTAGAAGACTATTAGAAGTCCTAAATAGATTTCACAAAACATTATTTTCAGGCTTCGAATAAAGGAGTAATTGACAATTCATATATTATCAGCGAAAACTAAAGAAGGAAAAAAAACAGGTTAGACAAAGCTTTAAATGTTTCAATTTTTCTTAATTATAACAGAGCAGATGGTCCTAGTTTATCTCTACCAGTGGTAGACAATTTGTTTACGCTTGGGGGCAAAACTCATATCAGGAGTATATGAATGAAAACAAATTGTATCCATCTTTAATATTGTACACAAAATATTTTACATTACGAAACGTGAAAAGAGCTTATTTGTAGAATATATGTTTTACTTGGTAAAATCAAATAAATTTAATTTAATGTTTTAACATTGACTTATTAATATTCTATAAGAAATATTACACTGAAGACCCTATAAAACATAATTTTACATATTTCAATAATAATTACACCATTCTAAATAACTTTATGTAAAATCATGTCTATCAATTTTACTTACACAATAATTAAATTATTTATAAAAAGAATTTACATTATCTGCGTAATTGTTATAATCATTTTCAGAATTCGAGCTTCATATCTTTTGTAGAATCATGAGGAAACAATTAATCTAATCACTTAAATAAGGCCCTTTCACATAAACATATCTCAGGCATGATGGTGAAATATTAAGATAACAGTTGCATCTCTAGAAAAAAACATACATTATTAATTTTTTTTTTAAATCATACGATATAAGTTTTGTTTTTACGACATCCTCTATATATTATTTGGGGATCATTTAAAAAATTGTAACCTTAAGTTTGTATTAATTAAAATAACTCCAATCTTATGTGACATATCTCTTTACCTTATAAATGCTATTTAACACAATTCTGGAGCACCTTACATATGTCATAGTTTAAACATATATTTACTAGAAAGATGTTGGTCACATGTCTTATATTAATATTAAAAAAATTATTATTCATTCTTTCCTTAAATAAAAACTATGAAATTACCTAGTGTAATTAAAAGATATATGACAACTAATAATTTCAGTATAAAGATTTGCTAACAATTTGTATACCCTCTACCATTTTTGTTTAAATATTTGTTATTAAAATAAATTACACAAATACGTTGTTTATATAATAAAAAAAATTATATTTTTTCGTATATATTTTATTTTGAATTTTTTAAAACATGTATAAATTACTAAACTGTTAAAAGTCTCAAATAATATTTTCATGATCAATTGTTTAAAATTTTATTATAATAAGATACACATAATTATAAATACATGAGTAAAAAGTCTTATTTATATGTTTATATTAATACATATATATATAATTTAAATTAAGTTCCATGCCATATAAAAATATATATTTATATTTTGATATTTTCATTGAAAAAATATTAAGAATTTAATATTTTAATTTTAAAATTTGCATTCAGTTTAATAGTTCAAAATTTTGTTATAAACTATATTGATAATCATAAAACCATATAATGAGAAAATTCCTTAACTAAACATCCATATTAAAAATATATATTATAGATATTAAGTTTAATTGTATCTTATACACGATGGATAAAATTTATTGTTTGGTTAATTTACCATAAAATAATTGGTAATAAATAAGAGTGATCGTTTGATTTAAATGCACATGCCAAATTATTTATATACATAATAGTGATTGAGTTCTAAGTTGTAAATAAAATGTTTATCCTCAGCAGATCCCCTATATATATATTAATTGAGGATCATTTGAAAAGTTATAACCTTACGTTTGTACTAATTAAAAAAAACTAAATAACATATCATACTTTTGGTGGTTCATCTTATGTGGCAGGTCGCTATGCCTTTTAAATTCTGTTTAGAAGAATTTTATAGCATCTTATATAAAGCATAGCTATAAAACAAGGTTCGTTGATCTCAGATAAGATATATCAAACTAAATCTCTTATATATTATTTTCTTAAATAAAACCTACGGAATTACCTAATGTGATTAAGATATATATGAGTATTAATAATTTTAAATAATAAAGATTTGTTAATAATCTGTATACTTTATAGCATTTTGTTTAATTTTTATTATTAAAATTAATTACACAATTACACTAATCATATAATAAAAATTTAGATTTTCTTATATATGATGTATTTTGAGATTTTCAAAACGAGTATAAATTACTAAAACTGTTAAAAATCTCGCATAAACTTTTGTGATCAAGGTCTAAATTTTTTTTTTATAATAAGTTACAATGATTATAAAGTCATATGAATAAATAATTTTATTTTAATGGGTGTTTATGCTAATATATATATATATATATATATATATATATATATATATATATATATATATCTCATATCATATGAATACATAATTTTATTTTAAACATAATTATAATTTAAAATTAACTTTTTTTAAAAAAAATTATTTTTGTTTAAAATATAACTTTCTGATATTGTTATACAAATAAATAAAATATATTAAATTAGTTTGAAATTTTATATATTCTAAATAAAAATAATCTACCAATTGATTCTTAAGAAAGCATTAGAGAACTTGATAATGCTTTACCAATTAAGTCATGTGAACTTCGTTTATTTTCCATCACTCGAACACTGAAAAGTGAAAAGATATATAAACCGGACCCATTAAATTCTAAATTTTGATCTACAGTTTTAATTACAATTGTTTCTGAACCTACGTATAGATAATTATATCAAAATTCCAAATACATATAAACACAATTATATATAAATTTTCAATTTGTAAATATTAAAATTTAATATTTTAATCATATATACCCATCATGCGCAAGACGCTGGTCTTATCCTAGTAAGTTAATAAACGGTAATGTTATTACTTATCACTTGAAACATCCATCTATAAGGAATACAAAATTTGCTACTATCATGTAAATTATTATAAAAAGAAAATGGAAGTAAAACTCGGGCGAGCTAGCTCAACTGGTAACACCTTAGGCAATTGTCTAAGAAGTCACGAGTTTGAGTCTCGAGCGGGGAGAAGTGTCCAGGGCCGTAAAAGGTACATACATAGGTTAGTTCCGGGTCTGGGGGAACTAAGACCGAAAGCCTGAACCCATCCTAGTTTAAAAAAAATAATAATAATAATAAAAGTGGAAGTAATACCTAGAAATGAAAGCGGTGAATCTCCGTACGAAGTTCCCGGGGAAAGGTACAGACGGGAAACATGCTACGCCGTGTTTCCGGTGAATCGTTAACAATGTAAGTCAACAAACTAAGACGATACGTTAAGTGTGTGAATGCACACTTTCTTGTGCTTTGAAGCTAAGGTATTACTCCAATTACGTTGCCTTGCATTTGAGGTTTTCTAAAATTATGATCACTTCAAAATACTCAAATAGGTATGAGTGAATTACGTAGAAGAAAAAATGTAAATTTTAGGTATATGTGTTAGAATTGTTATTTAATATAGCAATATCGGTATTTGCACCAAAAAGAAAACTATATTGGTAGAACAGTAGAAGTATATGCTAACACGTTTACTATATAGAAATATATATATATATATATATATATATATATATATATATATATATATATATATAGTGTTTCCGGTCTAGTTATCCAGACCATTTCAAGTTGTTTGAGTAGTAGATTAGTTATTTGATGTAAAAAAAAAAAATATATATATATATATAGTGCACCAATCAAATATGTTTATAAATCTATTAATGAGGGCCTCATTAATGACAGGGAATTGCAAATGAATTCCTGTAATTAAATATTTTGATTATTGAGTGTAGTA